TATTTTGAGTCTAAACTCCCCAGGGAGTTGCACTGGGATAAACTCAAGAGTAGATCCACAAGTTTGGAACACCAAAAAAGCAGGGCAGGAGGCACTGCAGGTGATTTGCTGCTCACACTGAGTGTCACAAAGGACTCCAGCAGGAGATGCTGAGGGCTGGGTGTCCTCCCACTGCTCCCGCTGCCCCTGGGGGCAGCGATTCCTCCCCTGCCTGGGAGGGGAGGGTGTATCACTCTCTCCTGGGCTGACATTTCATCCACCTACTTCTCATGCATTTTTAAAACCAAACCTTGAGCCGTCCAAGTTTGAACACCGTTCTTTGTTGTGCTTTTTGTACCAGAAATTGTGTATTAAACATTTCCCAAGCTCCAAAGCAGTTGAGATGCAACTTCTTAGTGTTTTTCATGCAAGATTTAGCACAGACATTAATGCTGGGGTTAGAATCAGAATAAAGCAGTAGATTTTAAGCTGCTTTCCTGCTGTCAGGGTACATGACCTGATGTTTGCACAACACTCAGATGGGACACAGGCTCCTAACAAACTTGTCCAACTCCGAGGTGCTGCTGAGCATCCTTTATGACTGATCCTGACCAAATCCTTCCCAGGGAGCGAGAGCAGAGTGGTGTGATGGTCCGAGGCGCTGTGCCCTCCTCACTTGGAGCACAAGGACACGGGCAAAACAATCCTATCAGTGTAAGGGAACTGGGACTGAAGCAGCTGCTGAATGTTCTCAATAGACTTCCTGGTAATGGCTGGTACAATTTCATTAGGGCTTCTCATTTTATTTAATAAAGCATTGGATTATTTTATCTGGAATTCAGCAACAGGTGCAGGAAAACAAAAGGCACATTTCCTGATAGTGCCCACAAAGAGCCCATTCCTGCCTGGCTGGCACGGAGGCGTTTGCTCTGCCATGTGGATTTTTTTCTGGATGTGAAAATAATGGTCACTCAGAAAAAAATAAAATTGTTCTATGATAAGAGACTTTTGAGAGAGGAATTGCTTTCGAGTTAGTAATGGCAACGTGCAAAGGGGTTGCAGTGCAAGTCAAAGAAAAGAGAGAGCCAACAGTGCTTGGTAAACACCGCTCCTGCTTCAGATAAAGATCAAAGCATTCTCTGCAGGTGGTAACGACCATTAATCCTCATTGTGTGCAACAGAAGCCGAACACTGGAAAGGCTCAGCTGGTGACCCCCAAAAGCACTCAGTAGCCTGGATCCAGTGAAGGATGTGGGTGCTTAGGAGAGAGACACTCTGGCATTTTACCTTTGCTAGTCAATAAATGGAACACGGAGCAGAGTCCTGGGTGACCCTCACTGGCCCTCAGTAAATTCTTATTTTCTCTTTTTACACCAGTAATTAAGTTGTTGGTGAGCAATCAGAAGATGGAGTTTTGAATTCTTCACACTGAGGGTGGGATTGAAATTAAATTTCCACTCTTTTAAGCTTCCTTTTAAGTGAAAGTGCCACTACAGAACTCATTTAAAAGTGAAGTCTACCAGGAGGTAGTGATACACTAAAAGGTTACAGAAGAGTAGTGGCTCAGCTTTGGTATTTGTGGGCAGCACAAGGAGAGTCAGCTCACATCCTGCACTCCATGTTGCCCTTGGTCTTCATTTTAGTTCCTTATCACCAGCAAGCCACTAAGTGGGTTTTATAAATTACTGGTTCGTGTGATGGAGTTTCCACAGTCTTGCTCATACTTTCTTTCTTCTGGTTCTCTGAAAAATGAGTTGTGTCAAAGACAAGCCAAGAAACACCAACCCTGCAGGGTCACCACGGGCACCAGGAAAGGTCACACCTCGTGCAGGGGAAGCCGGTGGGGGACACACAAACCAAGGAACCACCACTCCTGAAAAATCCGGCCGGGCTGGCGTCACCTCTGCACTGTGCTCACTGCATTTTCACTGAAGAAGCAGAGATAAAATTCAGTAACAAGATTGCCTTCAAATTAAACTTACTACAGAAGTGTGTTTATCCCCAACAAGATCTTCCTAAGAACAAACCTGTTACTTTTAAGATGAGCACCTCAAACGAAGATCTCAAACCTCATTGTCTGTACTCTTAAAAAGATTCTTGAACACCACATGAAAACATCTTGCAAATGGGACACTGGTCGAGCATTTTCTTCTTTAAAAATAAAGTTAGTTAACTAGTTTATTAGTTATATACGCTATTAGTTAAATATTTTATTGAAAATTTTAAATCTTCCTAACCACCATCCTGCCTTCCTGAGCCACGGCAGGAACAGCAGCTCCACAACCGCTGGCCATTGCAAAGCCCCGGCTGCTGATCCCGTGCTGACGAGGCACAAAATCTAACACAGGGCATTGAACGAGCTCAGCTGGGACACACCCAGTTAAAGGCACATCCAGGGCAAGGAGAGGATGCAGGCAAGGCTGTACCAGGCTGGAACTCATCCCTACAGCCAACTGTGTTCTGGAGAGCATTCCATCCCTCTCCAAACCGAGCTCCCCCAGCCTCTCACTGCTCAGGAGGGGGAGTTCTCACAAATATTTTGGCAGGAGATCACAGAGAGCAGCTTTCCCCACATGTGGCATCGAAATGCATAAATATGCACCTGATCTTCTTGTCTTCTCCCCCTTGGAGGTGGCCAAGACGACAACATCAGATTTCTTGAAATGCACAAAGGTGAGGTTTGAATTGTTTTCCTCTGCTCAGCAGCATAAAGGGGCAGGTGGCAACGAGCTTCTGAAGCACAGCACGGCCCAAACAGGAAGAGCAGGGGAAAAGCAGATTCAGCTCTCACTGCACAGGAGGAACAGCCCACACTTCTGCGTGGACAGGAGTTGTGTTATCTGCACCTGACCCTGTCTGAAGGAAACCTCCTGGCCCTAAGTCAGGCAGAAGCAGCGTGCAGGAACTGTAATGATCCACACTGCCCTTCTTAAGTGAGGTCTGAGGCCCCAGGGAGGAGAGGGTAGAGCCCAAGCCCTGCTCGGTGAGGACACTTCGTTCAGTCACTGTTTCTTTCACAAAGTTACCAAGTTGGATTTGATATCAGAGAGGTTTTTTTCTCTTGTTGCTTTCCCCTTTGTTCTAAAATCCTGCCCTTACGCTTGAGTTCAACAACAGAACCCAAAGCAGAAGCAATCAGCAGAAGGAAACAGCCTTGAAGAAGGAAGGAAGCCTCATGCAAATATCTTGTTACAACAGAGGACACACAGAACCACCACACGAGCTTCTGGCACACAAGCAGCTTTTGCAAGAGGTTTGCTGTCATTATTTCACGTGGCTCGTGCTGGAGGAGGACCCTCCTGTCTGTTTGCACACACAGCTGCCTGCATTCAAACATAAACTGATTTCTTAAACCCTTCTACTGCTGCCTGTGAATAGAAATGCAGCCTCTTCAATCGGGCAGGATGGGCTCCAGCCATTATTTTCAGATTATGGTGTTTGTCAAGGACCTGCAAGTTTTCCTGCAAAGGAAGATCCAACCCTTACCCAGCACTGAGCGTGAGCAGCTTTTCTGGCACAGCAAGAAGGACCTGCAAGTGCCAAGCTCTGCATTTGGTTTCCAGGGCATATCCCATCTTGCACCATCATTTCTGTGGGATCCAGGAGCAGAAAACAGGGGGAACCAGTGAGCAAGAAGCAAACTTTCAAACCAGCTGAGAAAGGTGGTGGAGGGAAAGGGAAGCTGAGAAGTAGCCACTGCTATGGATCTGACATGGTCTGGACATCACACACCCACTGGGATTTTTATCAGCAGAAAAAATATATCTAAACTGTCCCTGTGCCCGCCTGGTTGCTCATTTCCAGCATCCAGGCACCTCCCCACACAGGCCAGTACAGTATTTTCTGCTGTCATAAAGATAGACAAACCAGAACATCCCACAGAAGCATCCAAACAGTTCATCAGCTCCCATCGGGAAAATCACTTTCACTGCTTTGCCTTGGGTTAGAACTAAGAAGAAAACTGCTCTTGAAGGCATCAGCCTTCAGGTACTTGTGGGTGGACTGAGTGATCAGAAGGTGCAATACCCTCTCAGATGTAAACAGCTTCTTATTATACTCCAATCTGTGCAACAGCCCTGGGGAAAATGGTTAGAACAAGTAACTGTTGCCAGTGTGAATCCTGCTGGAGATTACCTGAAGCTCTCACGTTTTTCACAATACTGATCGCTTTTTTCCACCCCCCCCCAACTGAAGTTATTTAATTCTTCAGATGAACCATGATGGGAAGGAGAAGGGGAAAATAAAAAGAGGGGAAAAAAAATCTCTAGTTACATCTGAATTAATTCCAGAGAGTGAGTTGCTTTCAGAGAAAGTCCCCCAGCCACTTGACACTTCTGTACACTGGGGTACATCAAGCAGCACCCACCGTGCGGACTGGGGGCTTCCCAAAGGCAGCATCCTGTGCTCCCTGCCATGCAGCCAAACCCCGAGGGTTCGGGGGGCTCCCGCTGCAGCGCCCTCACCCCCCGCCATCGCCTTTTCCCCCTCCACATAACACGGTCAGAACCCAAAGCGTTTCTCTGCCACATCCATAAGGATTTGGGAGCTCAAGAGCGCGGGGCTCTTGGTCTCCCTCGGCCGAGGGCTCAGGCACCGCACGGAGCCGCTCGGGGCGGTTGTGCCGCGCTGTGTGCGCTGTGTGCGATGTGTCAGATGTGTGATGTGTGTCATGTTCCGTTTCCCTGGAGGCGATCCCGCCCCGTCCCGCCCCGTCCCGCCCGGTCCCCGCGGGGAGGCGGCGATGGCGCCGGGCAGGAGCGGCGGCCGCAGGTGGGGACCGGGGCCGGGCGGGGGGAGCAGGAGCAGCCCCTCGGAGCCGCCTCCCTCCCTCCTGTCCCGCCGGGAGTGCCAGGAGGAGGCGCGGGCAGCGCCGGTCCCTCCGTGCGCGGGGTGCGGGCTGTGCCCGCAGCAGGGTCCGCACAGCCCTGGATGGAGACTCCGCGTTACAACAGATAAATTATTGTTATTGTTATTATTATTATACGCTTACCGAGCGGGACCCTGTTGTCGTGCAGGTTTCCTCTTCGGCGGACTCAAGCGCAGCGTCCGGTCCATGAGGTCGAAACGCGGACGGAGTGAAGGCGTTGTGCGAGACGTATCAGGTGTTAGAGGATGGACCCGAGCCGATGAGGAGCGGAGCGCTGAGCCCAGGTAGGCTTGTAAACAACCGTGCTCTGCCTCCAGTGTTCAACGACTCTGACACAGCTGTCTGTGTAAATCCAGCTGATAACAGAGAGCCGATTCCTCTTTACTTCAGCTCTTCTCTGCTCTCGCTGAGAGCACTGACACCATCCTGCTTCTTCAAGGAAAGAGAGGAAAGCATGGCGAGCTTTGTCTGACACGTCCAGCTGATTTCCACGAAGCCATCCTGTGTTCATTCTCCTTAGGAATTAACACACAGAAAAGAGTTATCATAAGGAAACTCATGGAAGGCCGAAGGGAAAAGCAGCTGTTCTGAGGTGTCTGTCATTGTAGCACTCCCACTGTTTAAAGGTGAGCAAAAAAAGCCCGGTCACTACTGAAGCCCATGTGTTTTGCATTGCCTTGGAGTTCCAGGACTTTGGAAAAGGATGGGCTGCATTGATGCTTTTTCTGTGTTCAGGATATTTCTGCAGTCACAATTTCTCACAGGTTCTATGAGCATCATGAACTGTGAGGCCACGCTGCAACATCTCTTGTACAATTTCTGTAATTGTCTAATTTCTTCAAAATGGGGAGGAGTTCTGAAACCTCTGCCCAGCTGCACAGAGAGACCTCTTTGCTGTCTAAAGGAAAGGAGCGCAGTCACCTTTATTTCCTAAACCTTTCCTTGGGGCAGCGACTAGAAAAGTAACTTATGCCTATGGTGACCTTGTAGCTCTCAAAAATGTAATTCAAAGAACATAAAATGTAGACATTTGTTGGCAATTTAATGATGTGTTAGTGAAGTTATTTACTCTTAATTAAGGAGCCTGGAAAACTCAGATGTAAATTGGGTACTTGCTGGGATGGAGAATTAACTAAGTGGTAGAGGTACCGAGAAATAAAATTTTTTAAACTTTGTTTTTCTTTTCAGAGATGAAGCACTGTGCCCTGTGACACTCATCTTTGCTGTTCCCACCACTGGAGGATGGCTGCCAGACTCTGTGAAAATGGTTCTGGTCAGCACCACTCCACCCACATCAGCCAACCTCTTGAAACCAGCTGCGTGTTGCTCCTGATCATGCTCGGAAAAGTCTCCCTCGATTTCTTCATGTTGCACGTGAAGCCAAAAAACGTCAAAGCCAGTTTTATGGGCTACTTTTGCGTCTCGGTGGCACTGCTCGATCTGGCGCTGCTGCTGATCTTGTGTTTCATTTTCTGTTTGGAGGACTTTGCGCTCTGGGGGCTGCGCTTCACCCGCTACCACATCTGCCTCTTCACCCAGGTCACCTCCCTCACCTGCGGCATTCTGCACTACCCCGTGTGCCTCGTGGCTGCCCTGGACCATTACACCAGCATCTCCCACACGTCCCAGTTCCCCAAAAGAGGCCAGAAATTACTGTACGTGTTTGCTGTGATGGTTATATGGATTTCAGGGTTTTTTTGTATTCTCAGAGTTCCCGCTGTCTATGAAGAGTTGGAAATTGAGAAGAGTGTCTCTCCTTACCAGTGCCCTGTCTCTGGCAGCCTGCAGAGCTACTCCATCTCGTGTGCCATGGTGCTGCTCCTGGGCACTGCTCTCCTGGCTCGCTGGAGGGAGGTGGTGACCACCCTGCTGTCTGCCAGGCTCGTCTCCTTCTCCAGTCAGCCTGCTCTGATCTTCCCCTACACGTCCAACACCACCACCTGCTTCAAGCGGCAGCTCCTGACCAGGCTCCTCGTCTGCTTTCTTGGCACTTGGGCACCTTTAGTGGTTCTGCAGGTCCTGGTCGTGTTCCTGGGGGCGCGGATCCCGGCCTACGTGGACATGAACGTGCCCTGGCTGTACTTCATCAACAGCTTCCTCCTGGCAGCCGTGTGCTGGTGCCGGTGCCACGAGGTCGAGCTGGCAGAGGGGACGTGGAGCTCTGACCCGTTTGTCAGCTGGAAATTCTGCTTTGTGCCGTTCGACAATGAAAGCACGGAGGCAGCTGATGAGGCGGGGGTGGTCATTGTCTGTTAACGAGCTGCGGGCTGGAAAGGCTGCAGGAGGTGCGGGCTCTCAGGTTCTGCGGCTGGGTCCTTACAGACAACGCCAGGAAACAGCTCCAGAGCTGCACTCCGTGGAAACCAGTCCAGTACTGCAGTGGGTGATGCACTGAAGTGCAGGACACCGGTCCCAGTGCACAGCAAGCACTGCCAGTTCAGGGCATTCATCTTCAAATACGTTTCAGACACCACTGCTTTCATCAGCCGAGTTCTCTGTTAAACCTCTGTTTGTGACAGTTTTACATTTCCTTTACATGGGATGATCTCAGGTTTTCCAGTACAAAATGCAATAAAGTCTTCAAGGCTGGAGCTACATTCAGGTGCTGACCTAAAGTTCAAACAACTTCCGTGATTTTTTTTGAAGTGCATTTTCTTGTTAACGTCTGGCTTTTTGTCAGCTTGATTGAAGTTAAGGGTTGTTGTCTGTTTAACCAGAAACAATTTTTTTTAGTTAATGTAAAGCTACAGCTCCTACAGAAATAGGAACTTTACATGGTACGAAACCAGTGCAAGATGTGCAACTTCCACAGCCACGGGAGAGGTGCTGAAGCTTCGCTGTTTCTTTGCTGCTGCTCCTGTAATGTATAAGTACATATTAAAAATTAAATTATTACAGTCAGAGCTCTAAGCAACAAGGTTAATTGCTATATATAAATACATGCCCAAGGCTAAAGAATGGCTTAAATTAAAATACAGTTTATTTTGAAGTCCAAATTACTTTAAAATAGTTAAATATGAAGGGTGACTATGGCAGGGAAAGAATTAACCAGGCTTGGAGCAAAAATACTCCTAATCTCCAAATTCTTACAAAGTTTTATAAAGGACTTGGTTTAATTTTGTAGAGGAGAAATAAATGATACACAACCAAAGCAGACAAATGAAAGTAGCATTTATTTGTGAAGCACTGAACTCACAATACAATGTTGTATTGAAAGAGAAACTAAACGATGCTGCAGGTTGGTTAATCATTCCCCCAGACCCACAGGGAACGATGATTCACACCAGAACACTCGTTAAGAAAACTCTGCAGATAACAAAAGGTGCAATTACAAGCAAGTTTAAGCAGCATAGTATAAGGTGCTTTGTTTCAGCATTTGTAGGATGGATTTACCCATTAACAGACAGATCGAAGAAATTTCACTTCTACAGATCATAACAAAGGAGAGAATCTAAAATTCATTCACATGCGAGTTGGTGATAGGAAAGTGCTTCTTAAAAACGATTCACAAAGTGAGGATCATACTTTTACATAATTCACTGTGTGCTCTTCCACTGTAAAATTTAAATTTTGGGCTATAATTTACATTATTATATATCAATTATAGAGATAGATTTAATTGCAGGATTTAACGCTATGTGGGCTAAATTTTCTTATAAAAGAATATTCCAGTATTTTACTCCATAAGAATACACAATCACATCTCAATCATAAATTAATCTTACATTTCTGAAACATATCAGAGTCTGATTATTTTCTTTTATTACTTCACCCCACACAGTGCTTCTTTCATCCACAGTCTGGGGTAAATTCCTTGGAGGTTTCCACGATATAATGAAAAGGACACAAGCATTTTTCAGGAGTAGAAAGTGGTTTTGGGGGAAAATCTGTTAAAAAGGCCATCAAAAGGACAGTAAGTGATCAAAAACTGAATTTTAAAACTAGTGCAAGAAGAGGAGGCAACACTTAGCAACATATTTTGAAGTGTTTGGCACCACAAATTATTTCTTTTTTTTTTATGCTGGAAAACGTATTCGGAGGAAATTCTGCTTCCACGTTAAAAGTGGGAAAGCACAAACATTGTTAACTGGAAAAACAACCTTGAGCAATCACTCCCTGCTCTCTCAAACTGCAGTTGCTGTCAGTTAGTGCTGGAGGTGCTACAGGATAAACCATGGCTAAACACAGGGGTTTGACACAGCATTTCTTCAGGTTTTATATAAACTGGACACCCACTGAAATGGGGCTGCCAAAATATTTACAAAACCCAATTCCATTTAAAAACCAGCAAATTACCTCAAATACAGTAATGCACCAGGCATTTGAGAAGATCATGAAATAACTAATTCCTACAGACTGGGCAGGCAGGGGAAATTCCTCATTTAAAATTAATGTAACACCAGGTGAAGGCAAAGGTATTTTCCAGTCCATTTCAGGTGTGTTTTGCATGGCAAGTCTCACCCTTCTGATTCCCAAACATACACAGAACTGGAACTGCAACGAGTTGGGTGAGGCTGTCGAGGTGCTTTATTTATCAGTGTGGTTCAGCTGCCCAACCCCTAATTAAAGCTCCCACAACCCCATCTACCCCACCGTGACAGAACTACCAGAGCTGCTGCAGCGCTCCTAAAGCCATTTAAAGTTCTTAACATTCTATTTTTTTTTTTTTTACAGGGAGTCCACAACATGCAGCCAAAGAAAACATTTCAGATACTTTACAGCCTTTAATTCTTATAGGATTATTTGATATTAATGGTAAGAGCAGCTGACGTGTTAACCCTTAATGAGGAACTTCTGTACTTTCCTCATAGAAAGAATGTCTAACAAATCAACACTGATTTTAATGGTATTCTACATCTTTTCAGCTCTGAGTATTTGGCACTCAGAGATAAAACCCTTCACCTTTACACAGGTTTCCTGATCAGTACCGGTTTGCTCACTCTGTGACACAAAGACTACTTTAAAAAAAGGAGTTGAGTGTGCAGAATCTCTTACTGTTCTTCCCAAAAATGACTTTGCAAAAGGCTGCCAGAGGATGGGAACATCCTGGCGAGGTAGTGGAGGCCAACCCGAGCCTTCCCACAGGCTGCCTGGGCTCCACCCCCAGGGCAGATCCACCTCAGGAATCCATTCCATCTCTGCTTGGAGCCTAATCCCATAATCAGCACTGATACCCTCGTTTAGGATTAGGAACAACACTACAAACCTCCCAACAACCCTATGGACCAATACAGTGCTTTTAAAACACAATTAGAATGCTCCTCAAGTGTTACTTATTGCACTTCAACAGTATTTATGATCACTATTCTGTGAATGTACAATTGTGCTGAAGTTATAATTACTTCTGGAGGAAAATTCTTTTTAAATCTCAACACAGATATCACCAAGTTCTCTGATCACTCAGAGCTTACATTTGTCAGTGTGTAAAATCTCTGTTAAGCTGCTGAGCTGGAAGTTCCTGCACTGATACTGGGATATTAAAATGACAACAGTCACCTGGAATAGGCATCGGTTTTAGCTAACTTATTTTCACAGGAAAAAAATGAGGAAATGGATGTTTGCAGGACATAAACCTTTCATTTAAGGTATCTCAGGGACAAAAATCTAGCAAAGGTTTTCCCCTCCGTCAACAACTTCATTTCTGGAAAAAATACGATGGGTAGAAAAAGGGATTTACAAAGCTGTCTGTCTGAAAACCCTTCAAACACTCTCTGGTGATCCAGGACAACTGGCACTTTAAGTCAGTGCAGGTGGCCAGGTTTCTTCCCAGGAGTTTCCTGCTCCTGCTGCAGAGCTCAGTGCTGTGAGCCAGACGAGGCAGGGGAGGCTGAACACCCACTTTGCTCATTCATGTGTATTTCTTTAAAACCCCAAACAAACCCTGAAGTGAGACAAGTGTAATGATTCTAATTCTACTGGATGAAACCTTGACAGCCACATTCAGCCCAGTGCTCTGCCAGAGGGTTTGCCCTGAGCTAATGCTGCAGTTTGCACATTCAGGAGTAGGGCAGGATGGGGACCACTGGAGAAAAAGGAAGGGAAAAAGCCATGCAAAACACCTCCCTTCTGAGCAAAGATCCCACAACATCCTGCACTGCTTCCCATAGGGACTGAAATACTGCAGGGATTCCTGTGAGATGTAGCCCACAACAGCAGAAGTCTGAATACAGAAAGCAAAACCCCAGGAAATGAAGCTAATTAAAAGGATTTCTTGTAGATACATCCAGTGGGAGCAAGTGCTAAAAACCAGTCAATTAAAACCTGCAATACTTCCTCTTTTGCAAGGAGGTCCAGCCTAATGTGTGGGAAAGCCATGGAAAATGGCAGTATAAGCCTGGGAAAACCTCACCTATCTGAACAGCAACAAGTGGTTGGTATGTAAAATGGTTCTGGAGGACTATTAGTCTAAGTATTATATTGCTTTTTGAGTAAATTCAAAAGCTTCTGAAGTAGTCTTCAGTTGCACTTGGAAATTTTCCAGCCTATTTTCATGTACAAGTGTGCCTTTTTTTTTTTTTTAAACTGATTTTATTGACACAGCCCTGCCTGCAAACACTCCCACAGGAGTGCAGTTGTACCAGCACAGGTTAGTACAGCTGTGTCTGCTTTTAAGTTCCAGTTTAATACCAAAATAAGTGAGGGAGAAAAAACTTCCCATCTGCAGAAGGCCCACATTCTTAGTTGCTGCACTCAAGAATAGTTAAAGCACAGCTCACTGTCTGTGGCTCTCCCAAACCCAGAGGGAACGTCACGCACCAGAGCAGGAACAGATGTGCCTTTCTGGGGTCTGCTCTGAGCTCCTGGCACCTGGCAGTGAGCTGGACACAAACACAGGCTGGGGAAGCTCTCCTGAAAGCTGCCTAATAAAGCAAAATCAAAACAGCCATGAAAGTCTCATGCGTGTACCAATGATTAACTGCAGGTCTAAAGAAGACTCCTAAGTCCACGGTTTCTAATATGCCTTAAGCCATTATCAAACCACACTTACTTAGCCCTACTTTTTTACATCGCCTAAGAACAGTACAGTCAGCAGACAGGTTAAAAATTAGCCAGAGAAATTTCCAGTATAAAAATAATAAAACTTTGAGACAAAAGCCAAAGGATAAATATCTAAGGTATCTTTAGTCTTCCATCAGCTCATCAAAACAGAAGGTATCCTTTAGAACATATGTTACAGATATGCTACACTCTGTATCTTACAGAAATGCTACAAATGGGAACACACTGTCTCCATCACTGGAACATCTTTCAGATGAACACTGCCACGTGTTGGACCTTCAGCTAAGAAGTTTATTTTACAACAGTAACTGAAGACAGAAAAAAACAAATCAGAAAGTGCTCAGCAACTTCCCTCCAAAGTAAACCCAGGCCTCGATTCCTTCTCTCAAGCCTTTGGTGACATTTGGACAAGGGCTCTCACCACATCCCAGCGTGTAACAGCAATGGGTTGTCCTAACTTAGAGCCTCAGTGGTTCATAAAAATATTGATAATATCTGCTATTGGTAAGCTCAAACAGTTGTAATTAAAAACAATTATTCTAATGGTGATCTCCAGGAGATAAGGATAGAAAGTCTGTTAGTGGAAACAAAGCAATAGTCTAATTAAAGGAAAATGAAGCACAGATTTTTCTGTAATCCCAATTTACTCTTTAAAGTCATCAGTTAAATATTATACATAATAATCTGTCACAAACCTGCCTCTCAGCCAGTGTATGTGCATTGACTCCTTTTGATCTAGGGCAGCAGTTCTCAAACTTCAGGTCAGTTCCTCTTTTTTTTCAGGAATACTTTACAGTCCTCCCGAATACCTCCTTACACAATCACATAGAATGCATTAATTTGCATAAAATACAAAATACATTATTTGCAGACACGTACACATATTCAATTCAAATATACACAACAACTACCAGCACACATACCCTTCTTTCCCTACACAAGAGTTTAGGGATCCAGGTCTGTACACAAGGGGAGTGGAGCTGCAAAAGGGAGGGCACAGAAGGTACAAAATACATCCATGAACATCCGTGCACAGGTGATGGAGAAGCAAAGGCCAAGAAGGTGCTGCTGCCTCAGAGCTCAGGCAGCTCCCAAGAGCATCAGAAACTGGGGAAACGCGTTTGTTCCACAAAAACTCTGAGAAGGAAGATGGTGGGAGACACTAAAATCCCACTGCCTGAGCCTGCAGCATCCAAGACAAAATCTCCTGCCAGAGGGACAAAGCAGGGCCCCTGGAGATTCCTCCCAGAGCTGCCAAATGTTGGCATTCCTTCTGCTGACCCCCAGCTCTGGGCTCCCTCACAGCAGCAGCTGCTCCTCCAGCGAGCTCTGAAGGGGCCTCGTGGAGCAAACAAAGGTGCTTGGGAGCTTCCAGTGGGGCAGTGGGAATGCACTACAGGGAAAGACATGTCAGAAGAGGTATCAGTTAAAAGAACACGTGAGCTCTGCTGTCCCTTCTCTGCCTCCAGCCTCGGCAGTACCTCGTCTCGACACTGTTTCTGGCTGAGCCTTCAGCCCCTCCCACCCAGGCATTTGGGAACCTGAACTCCGAGTGCTCACCCAGCTCCTCAGGGCCCTCTCTGAACCCCCATTTGAGAACTGCTGCTCCAGCTTAACCAGCAGCATGGGAAACTCCAGACTAACACTTAATGCCCCCTTAGTGCATAGCAGCATTCAAAGAGTAAAGTACCATGTGCTTCAGTTACCTCTGGCGGGAGTGTCAGTAGCCTGATCGTGAGGATTTCGATGAGACATCTACATGGTTTATAGTATTTTACAGACTTCAAGAAAATACTATAGTGGCAGAGATGAGGGTAAGCCAGCTGCCAACCTACCCCTTACGAACAATTAGCTCAAGACTAAAAGAAACTCAGAGAGCACAACTAAATGCATAGCATTTTACTGGTACTAGTGCTTCCACAGGGCCTGTGGACACTTCTGTCAGTTCAGTCCAAACACTGCTGTATGTGGGGAAAAAAAAAACCTTTCAGAATACAGCAACACAATCTAAAAGGTGTTTAGATTGGGGTGGGGGCTGGGGTGTTAACCTTAAACTCATAAGATGAAGTCCATGTTGGGGAATATTTAACCTATCACAGCGTATTTCACTCCGTGTTTTTACATGAAAAACTTCAACTCAAAGTATTACTCAGGCTTTACCATGAACCTGTTGGGTTGTTGGAAACTACAGAGGACTACCTGGTATAAGCAAAGGAACATTTTTAAGTCCTTATGTGGGGAACACCCCCTCAATTGTAACAAAACATCACAGTAACACTCATGCCACAGTGAAGATGTGGGCATATTACTGTCAGTTCTGTCACTGAGAAACTGTTGTTTAAACCTTCATGTTCACCCTCCTAGGATTCCTTCAATGAATTGATACGTGCACAGATTTTCAATGCAGGTCCAAGCTTAATATTCATTGCACTCATTAGGTGATCCTCCTTCAACAAAAGGAGAGCTTGTCCATCTATTTCTTGTGCTCTAAATTCATCTGCAATATCTTGACAACCTAAAAGGCAACAAAAAAATGGAATTATTGGGTTAGAAATGTGCATTCTTAGATGCAATGGTTCTGGCCACACTAGAGCTTCTCAGCTACACCTTTTCCAGTTCCCATCCCTTTAGCCTGTAGAACCTGAAGTCTATGCAAGAAAACAGCACTGACATAGTAATCAAGAGCATAATTCAAGTTCTTTCCAGCAATAAAAAGATGTTATTATTCACTGCTATAAAAGATACTATGTTCTACTGCTCTGTGCAACTCCAGAACATCCACACAGCTACCACTTCCAAAAGGTGTTAAGTCCATTTGTGTTCCACCAGTGGGTTAAGGAAGCACAGTTTTGATTCATGGGCTTTAGCATAACCATCTCATGAAGATATTTATCATCTATACAGGGCAGTAACTCACTTCACAAGTACAAATTTAGACTAGCTGGATCTTTTCACTGCATTAAACTCTTTTTCTGAACATGAAATAACAAGGTCAAAATTACTCTAAAGAACTCCTTTTCTACCCAGATAAGAGCAATTAATTTCACATCCTCTTGTATGTTCAGATTTAAATTCTAACAAGAACAGATAATCTAATTTCCTGATGGATTTACAAATGTGTCCAAGACAAATGGAAAGGAAATGTGGAAGGAAGTATTGATATCCAAACCTGAATTAATTTGGATTATTACTCTGTAAAGGTTATAACATTCAAGGCTGAGAAAAGGTGGCTTTACACAAAGAATAAAGCACAACTTCTCTTAATAATTTCTTAAGCAGACCTCATGCAACAATTAGCTCCAACATCATCATAAAGGTTTTCATCAAAGTCATTTTGGAAAAGCAGAGGATGGAAGTTGAATGGATTTCAGTTCCCTCATCCAAGCACATCTGGCTACTCTTAAGCACTTTTGCAACTGTTTGTTGTGCAATAACTCGGCCATATAAAAAAAAAGGATGGGAAGTAGATGACTATATCGAACAGAATAAACCCCAAAGTCACCAATAAACGTGAATGTAGCTATGGAACAATAATAATTATGGCCAGTTGTGAATATAATATTAATTGTTTAAAGAACTTTCTTAAAAATTATTAGAGAAACTAGGCCTTCATATAGATGGTGATAATTATAATAAATTTTCATTAAATACAGAGAGGTGTAAAGGTAATCAAAGATTATCTTTTTTATGGAGTACAAAACCACCCCAGTTCCAGCTGCTGCTGAAATATTCTAAAATAATGAAATATTCTAAAAAAAAGAAACTACATTTTAAAAATAACATTTTTTGTTTCATACTTGCAAGTGAATTATCTGCCACTTCAATTACTCTAGGATAGGAGCTGCCCTTTATATCCAGAGCTTGGGATCAGTTACTGGATCACCTGGAGCCTCAAATCCATAAAAACAGTAACTCCAACCAAGACTGATGTGACACAGCTCAGCTACAGGAACATCAATGATCCTGTCAAACCTGAGGAGCTTTGCTTGTTTTTCCAGAAAACCCTGCAGGTTCCCAGAAGCAGATAATGTAACTCAGCTGCAATGAACTATCAGAAGAAAAGCACCCCGAGGCTTTTGCTGATCTAAGACAACTCTTTACTCCATTCTTTGCCTGACCTATAAAAGATTATCTGTCATAACCCATGTGCATGGCTTAGCAGTGAGGATTTATTCCTTACAGGGTATCAGCATGGCAGGATACACAGAAAAATGGTTTAGCACACCAGGAAAAGGAGAAAATTAGGAACAAAGTTAAGCTGTGTTTTAATGGGTAAGCAACAAAAATTCTGGGATGACTGCTACTGTGGAGACCTGCTGTCCCCTGGAGGGGTTACAGCACCTGATCAGACAGATTGGCATCCTTGGGAAAAGGTGGGGATGACATAAAGGTAACTGTGAACATCGAGCTAAAAGAAAAGGTTTGTAAATAAAGAGAAAACAGATTGTTTTTTTCTGAGAACAAACTGTGCCTACCAGTAAGCAGAGCCTCTAGGCAAGAGTTCTCTGAGCAAAGCTGTGCAAAATAAAGTTAAATCTTACAGATGCAACTTGCTTGTTCTTTTTTAATGCTTTTTATCAGGATAGGTCTTTCAAACTTCTCAGAAATAACACTGCTCTTGCTTTTTCTACTGAATAAGCAGCAAGTGAGGAGGGAAGAACTGTACCAAGGAGGAAGTGTGTCTGACCTCCCTACTGACCTCTCAAGAGAAGTCAGACTGAAGGAAGGAACAGCTCTAATCTCCATCAGCTGGGATGCAACAGCAGAAGTGGGACTAGTTCTATCAACATGGCATTTGTGCTGAAGGAGCAAGCAAGAGCAAACAAACCACATTCCAGTCTCTGTGACCAACTAAGGAGTACCCCAGTGCTGTAACCACACCACCTCCTCACCACAGGGATGCTACACAGCAAGAACTTGTCTGTTATAGAACGAGAGAGCAAGGTACTGCACACAACATACCGGGCAAAGAATGGATGAAGGCCCAGACTTCATCCACAGTCCACACCGAGGGGTCAGACTGCACCGCTGGTAGCAGGTCGATGCTCTCTGGCATTTTGCGGATCCTCAGCTCCCGCTCCCTCTCGCTCTGCCTCCGCAGCCGGGTGGTCATGGCCGTCGGGACAGCGTCCTCGTGAGGAGCCAGATCCTCTTCTGCAGATGGATAAGTAATTGGAAGCTGGAAAACGCAGTACAACTGCAGTATTAGGCTTTATTTGCAATCCCCGAAGCCGTGCCATAGTTTTAAGCAAATGTTCCACAGACCTGTCTAAGAAAATGCTCTCGTGACGCCCCCTCAGGGCCGCTCGGCCGACGCCCGCGCCGCCCAAGACTTTGGCTATCTGACTTCCGATTCCAACGACTGGTCTTGTCTGATGGAAACAGCCCAAATTTCTTAGTGCAACTAAGGCTGTGCCTAAAGAAGTAAGATATATTCAATAATGCACTAGTGGTTCTTTGGACTGAATGCAATCAAGTAACCGTAAAATCACAGGGTTGTAGAAATGCTGCTTCATTAACACAACAGCTGTCCCAGCAATAAAAGAGAAAGGTATCTCAGAGGCCACTTACTCGAGCCCCTCATCTCGATGCAGGATCAAGGACGCCTAGACCATCCCTGGAAGATGTCTGTCCTTCCCATTCTTAAAATTTTTCCATGATAGAAATACCTTTGCATTTTATCCCATAATACAGTTCTGCTTCTCCGAAATGTCCACTGAAAACCTGAAATCATGCTGTGTATTTTGGGTCCATTTTCTCTACCTGGCTGATACCCAGTCAAAGGAGGGTGGAGGCAAAAATCCCACGTTAAGGGGCCAAACCCCTTCTTAAATTTCTTTCACTGGTGGTGTCCCAACAAGTCCCAAATGAAAAATATAAACTCCCACTACTTAAAATGGGAATGTGGCAGACACAAAGAGAAAGGTCACCTCCAGGCACAAGAATGCAAAAAAAAAAAAAAGAGCTAAGTGGTGACTAGAAATGGGAAACTATCCCCCATTTCCAAAACATCTGGGATTAAACATCAGCTTTCCAGCTGTAATGATGGAAGACTTTACATTCACAAGTTGACTGTGAATTCTTCCTCTCTTAAGCAAGAGAGGTTAACCCATTAACCAGTTAATGATAAGCAATAACTAGGCAGAGTTACCTTTTGGCACAGGATGTGGAGCAGAATCTTTTTGACCGTAGAAACTTACTGGGATACCCCATTTTCCCACAAAATTCACACTTCAGAAGTTCATTTTCGATTTCATCCAGTCCCTCTAAAGAAAGGAGTGAGGCATAAAGAAGTCAGTTGCAATGACACAAAATTATGTTCACCTTTCTCACCTCAAGCAGGAAGTAGAAGATTTTCAAATATCTAACACATTTAATTAAATCCTTTGGTTAACAGACAATTATGGAAAGCTGATCAAGCTGTAGATTTCATTCTCCGTGGAAAAGATCTTGAGTAAACTGAACCTCACTGAACCATCAATTAAGTTGTGCAATGAATTTAATCAGGTTTTTTGCTGTATTTCAAGCCATCCATGAGCAAGTATGTCCTCAAACTCAGCAAACAGTTAACTGGAGTTACAGTCCTCATGAATTACTTTATAAAGAGTTCATTAAGAGAACCAGGTCCTCCACAGTCTAAACTCAAGCTCTCCTGTAATGACATAATGCAGTAACCTTTTAAATACTTTCTTTGAATAAGCAACTGCTACAACCAAAGGGACTTGTGAAAGCAAGGAAAACGTTGGATCTTGGATCTATGGAACACTGAATCTAAGAAAAGGATAAGCTGCATGTAAGAAAAAAAAAGGGTAATGGCACCTGCTGCTTTGCAGCCTCCTGGTACAGAATGTTTTTCTGTTTCTGGTGAGATGAGGTGGCTTTTTTCCTGCTCCACAAAAAGCTCCAGTGCAGCAAAGAGCTGGAAACACCCAAAAAGGGTATTTGAAGTGGTGATCCTACCACAAACACAATCACACCCTGGTTTACTACAAGAAAATCTTGGCTCAACTTCTGCACATGTGGAGGCATCTTGATGTTGGATGTTTCCTACTAGCTCATCTCATGAGCAGTTACAAGTTTTGTACATAAACAGCAGCTGTCAGGAACAACAACTGAAACCAAACCCATGAATGTTTGAGGAGTTCCAGAAAACAGACAAGCTGTTTGAAATCTGAGGAACAGTGTTCATACTGAAAACTGAATTAGCATCTAGTGTAAGAAATTAAGGGCAAAATAACTATTGCAAAGAGAGCTTCAAATCTTTTAGAAGATACACCAGAGGGTAAAAAGTTAATTTTGTTTGAAATGTATCAGGTGAAATAAGATATTAAAAAAAAAAGCAAAGTAGGAGGGCTACAATCTATCAATATTTCCTTCCAGAGCAGAGGTACATATTGCCTGAGCAGCAAAGTAAATCACTCTCAATCAAAAATCCCAGCCATGTTTACTCATCTTCACTACCAATAAATACTCTGCTTCAATTCAGAGTGCTTTCTGAAGCAATCTTCCCTGATGCAGACCTGGGGCAGCAGCAGGTACTGGATTTGTCTCTTCTTCCTCTGCTCACTGCAGTTTTTATATCAAATTAAACAGATCACCAAAACCAGCTCTGGTGCAACAAAGACTCAAGTTGTGGAAGAGAAAAATCCAGAGGTGGCTAAAAAATTCTGAAAAAATGTGTATTTACAGAATAACTTGGCTTTTCTAGGGCAGGCCACAGTTTGATTTCCACACACACAAGGCTATCTACATCTGGGTTTGAACAGTAACAGTGGTGTTACACACCCCAAATAGTTGACTGCTGAGTTCTAAGAAGTCCAAGATGATGATTGTGTTGGACACTGCATGGGTAACTCAGTTTAGCTCATGAGTTGTGCTGGAGGTCATTGCATTCTAAGCAGGACAAGTGCATAATGTCTGGACATTTGTGTTGCTGTGCAGTGAGCAAAGAACACTTGAAAACAGTTTATATGAAAGACAGTGTAAATACTGGAGGAAGATTCCAGACGTACAGACAGGATGGGATTCTGTACTACACACAAAACTGAAGAGGGAAAAGTGGATATCTAAACAAACCCCACAGACCTTCTGCAATCATATCCTCGATCTCTGTGTCCGACGAGTTGTCTGCGTGTTTTGTGTTCTGCAAGTCTGACTCCACACACACAACACTCATGATCTGTCCCTCCACCAGCAACCTTTTCTCTGCAGGCTGTTCCACCAGCAAAGATGAACGACTGACCTATTGCAACAAAAGCAGAGCAAGAGGGAATTACTAAAAACGGTATTTGTGACTTAGCAGCTGCACCTGAGAGGTTGTCCAGTTTCTGCTCCCTATCCATGAATCATTCTGTGGTGCCAAAGCTCCAAATGCCATTCCTCCAACAAATAAAGACTCACTTCTGCTCTGCAGACTGTGCAATTACATTTACCAAAGGAAGAAACACATTAGACCTACACAGCTGAAGGAATGGTGAAATGAGATGCACATTAAATTAGTTAATGAGGTAGGTTTTAAATTGGCCATTCGTGGATTTAAAATTTTCAATAGTAATTCCTTACCAGGCACAGGACTAATCACACCCAGCCCACTGAGGAGTTTGCCAGTGCTTTAAACAACAAGTTGTAACATTTTGGAATTTTAACACAGACTCAGCTCTGAGCTTTAAATTAAGGTATCACTAAAACTGAGGAATCAGACAAATGAAAACCATTACTCCAAACAGCAGCCTAAAATCACTCTCTGTAGTTATCCCCAGATATAACTTACTACTCAACTCACCAATCAGCGGAAAAAAGGTCAAAACAAACATCTGAAAAATAATTCAAGATCTGAACACCTACTAGCCACAAATATCATCCTTACAAACAGTTTGTTTGAAAGATTAGTAACAAAAAATTCTTAGCAACTTCTACACTCACAGGGAACGGCTCCAACCCCTCCTGGATCACAAAGCCCTCGATGACGTGGGTCAGGATCTGGGGTTTGACAATAGCCTGTGGAGGTTTATTTTCTAGGCTAGGAATGCTGTTGGGCATTGAGGTGCTGTTGCTCCTCGTCGTCGCTGCTGGAAGCAGAAGAGGTGGTGGTGGAATAGAGGCATGTGAAGGGTCAGATGGAGATTTAATTACTGAGGCACTGACTGATGATGTCACTGAAGGCAGCCCCCCGTGATCTGAAAAAGATAACAAGGATGTTATGTTTTTATCACTCATGTCCAACCACTGCTACCTTAGCTGGACACTCGTCCTCACCTGACAAAGGATCATCTGAATTCAGGGCCTCTCCATTCCCCAGGGTTATGGCTGGTGGAGACAAGGTGGGGGGTGTGGGTGTTCTGGCCATGTGCACACACTCGGAGTCCTCGGGCATCTCTTCCTCACACACATTCTCCACTTGGTAAATCTGCACCCAACAAACTATTGCTTTAGACAGATTTCCATTCTATCCTAATACCTTAAAAGAGTTGCATAAATACAGTTTTTAAAATAAATTACCAGTTCAAATATGCTAATCTCCTAATAAAATACTAGTTTCCAAACTGCACACCTAACAGTGAACTTTGAGGACATCACAATGTCTATGAGAGCAAAATTAAAGTATTTTGTTACAAATAGCAACATATAAAGAGAGCAGAGAACTTGACTTTTTTGATATCTTATCTGTACAGTCGACTGTATTTTTATTTACACACACATTTGATGCTGTTTAAACACATTTACAAAACATGAGTTTTGCCTGATTGCTACATGAAATATCACAGTTGAGATTATTAACTGTTAATGTAAGTTAAGAATGAACACCACACCTCCTTCCTTAACCTGTTGATAGTCCCAAAAAAAAGCCTACAGGACCTGCTGATTCTTTTACTCAAGTTAATCTCATTAGCACGTTACCACTCAAGCCCAGCAAGGCCATCTTAAATGCATTATTTGCACATCATTTTATTTCACTGTACATGATTTTAGCTCAGTGACTGAAGCCAAAACCTCCACTTACAAACTGCACACGTCTAACACTGAACCAAATTAAATGGCACTGATGGGGGTTACCAAGACAGCATGCAAAGTTCCCCTATTCTTTTATGATGAGGATATTTGCAATGTTAGCACAAAATTAATTATCCAGAACCTTATTATCTTAATAATCTGCTACACACCTTCACATTTAGTATAGACATGCTTCTCTTACTAAAAATTTGGAATGCCTGTATTTGTGTTAAGATAAAGAGGTAAGAGCTTACAGTCCATATGGGACATTTATAAAAATTCATTTTAACATAAGCATTAACATATATTTACTTTTTTAACTTTAAACATACTGCATGATGATCCATTGATGATCCATTACAAAAAGCCAACAGAAAATAAACCACAGGAAAAACGCCTATCTGTAGTCAACAGCTTTCTTCTTGTCCTGTGTCTGGCACCTGGCTTAGCTCCCTCTGATAGTCAACGGTCCAGAATCACAGCCCTGGAGAAGCCCAGGATAAAGAATAAAGGATGCAACGTTACCACTTACCACTGGAGTTTCAATGGGAACCGATGGCTGCACCTGTAGGTTGACTGCAACAGTCTGTGGCGGTGGAAGAGTTTGAAACGGCAGCTGGACCAGAGCTTCTGCAGCGGGAAGTTCTTCCTCAGAAACCAAAGTGTTCTGAACCAAAACCTGGCCCTGGGACAGAATTTCAGGCTGCACTTGTAAAGACTGCACAGACTGCAAGGGCAGCGGCTGAATCTGGGTGGACGACGCCGAGAGCTGGGGAGGAGCCGCCAGGGGGATGGGAGCGGACTGCAGGGCGGGGTATTGCTGGTGTGGCGCGGAGGGCACCAGGCCGGGCTGCTCCACCGCCCCGATGTGCACGGCGGGCGAGGGCGGCAGCGGCAGGTGAGGTGGGAGGCTGAGCGGAGGCGCCCCCGGGCGCACCGGGGTGCTGGCAGCGGCCGCAGGGGCCGCCGGCTCCGGCTGCAGCGCCGCCGGCACCAGGGAGCTCCCCTGCGACTGGATAAGGGCTTGGGGGTGAATGATTATGGTGGGGGACTGACTCGGGGAGTGGGACGGCGGAGGGGACACCACCACCGACTGCTGCGCTGACTGTGACGGGGTGGGAGAGAGCGTCAGAGGCGGGGGATGGAGGTGGATCGGGGAGCAGTGGGACGGGACGCTGCTGGCAGCCGGGGGGAGCCCGTGGCTCGGCAGGGGCAGACAGTGCTGGGAGGGAGGCGGCTCCTGGCCCGAAGGAGTCTGGAGTGCAATCGGCTGGACTTGCTGCTGCTGCTGCAGTATCAGCTGATGATGGGAAATCTTTGGAGGTGGTGAATGAAGTGGGATCTGCTGATGCTTTACTAGAGAATGAGGTTGCAATGGAGAATATGAAGCTGTCAGAGAAAAAAAAAAACAACACACCTGACAATTAGTATTTCTTTCTTCAAATCCTGAAAACATTATAAAATACTTCAAAAAGTTTTCACTTTAAAGATCAGCACAATTTTTTCAACACTTAAGATACATGTTTAGAAATATCTTCTTGGACAGTATGTAGTACACAAGAACAATTTATCAGGGAAATATATCCATTTCCAAAGCAAGATGCAGCAATGAATAAAGAAACATAGCCATGCTTTTACATAAATGTACTTTCTAGATAAAAGTACATAAATTTATCATTTTGGAGCTAGTTCTAAGATTACTGTTGATCCAGCCTATGTTTATTATGTAGGCTTATACTTATTATGTTTATCTATTTAAGTTGATCTGGTTTATTTAAGAATTTCATGTGACTTTAAATGAATTTAACCTTTGCTTTGAAATAGACTGGAATAGAAATTATAAGCATGTCACAATCAGCAGGATTTGTTGGTAACTGCTAAGTTAAAAGTTTACCTAGTCTCTAAAAATAGTATAATCTAAAATTCCAAGAATTCAGTATAAATTTAAACCATTGAAAGTATTTACCTGAACTTGAACACACAAACTGAGAGGTACAAATCTAAAAACAGTGCAGCTTCCAGAGATACCCCCTTTAAGTGAGCCAGTGACTCACCAGTGATTCCTTACAGCACACACATTGTCCTCCACACCCAAACCTCTTCTTGCTTTGTGTTGTCCACTTGAGAGAAAACTCATTTATGTAGGTTTTTTATGATTTATTGTGCTACTAAGGATGGATTTTTTCCTTCCCAAACTGAGCTCTGAGAGCATTAGGGCTCAGTACCTGCAGAATGTCGGCCTCCAAGTCCCATTCTTCCTCTAAAAGCTGCCATCAGCCAAGCTAAATTCCACAGGATTCAGATCAATTGTCTAAACTACCCTCACTCTTCCAAAATAAGGATGCCAAGATGCAAATAAGGGGCATGCAATGGAAGTGCTTATCTAACCAAGTGCAGGTTATTTACATTTCTCTCTTAATACAAAATACTAAGATTCTGAGCATTATTTACCTATGGATTTATAAAGGTACTTGATATAGGAACGTCCTGATGACACAGACAAGGCAGAAAAAAACCAAACAAACCACAAACAAATAGGTTTTGATGAGAGCAAGAGGCTTGAGGTGGTTTCAGACCCCAGAGATTGGGGATGACACGACCTGACAACAAGTATACACAGAGACCAGGAATTAGAATAATTTTTGTGCTGTGATTCAACTGTGCATTGCAATTGCCATATTCCTGCATCACTGCCTCTGCTCAGTCAACATCCTGTGCAACACCCAATACCAACAATAAATAAATTTACTATTAAAATTTCAACTCTATTCACGTGGAATATCTGAAAACTCCGCCAGAGAGCACTGAACTCTGACAGAACTGTAATACACGCATTATCTGAATGAAAATCAGATCCCTGTGGCTCCATTTCCCCCCTACCTGGTGTTATCAAGTGGTGGATGCTGGACGTGCGTGTGACCGGCGTGCTCCGGCACTCCGGGGTTGGGCTCTCGCCTTTCCTATTGCTTTCATTGGGATCCGCTTGGCTGCCCTTGGAACTGCTGATGGGTTTACTGGGGCACAGGGACAGTGACTGGCTTTGAGTGCTGCTCTTTGGTGGGCCATTCTGGGAACTTGACAGCACCCCCAGCTTCTGACTGCGCAGCGTCAAGTTCTGAACCTGGGAAATGAGCAAAACAGGAAAAAACCCAAACTATATAAACTATATAAAGGTCCATGACAAACAGCAGGTAAAAACAGCAAAAAAAAAAAAAATTACGTTTTGTAATGCTTCTCATCCCATGTGATCAAAAGAATCTAAAAATCTGCATATCAAAGTATCTTTCAAGCCATAAAATTTAGAGGAGGATAGGGATCTTTATTACTTTGGCGATAAAGAAAACACAGAAAAGTCTTTTGTTCCTTATTGAACTTCCAAAAGTAATGGAAATTTTTTGTTAATTTGAATTAAAACTTTCATTTTTCTCTTTTATTGTGCATTCAAAGTGAATGACCCAAAACATCTTAAGCAAAAGCAATTTTATCTTCATACAGACACTGCACAAGTGCAGTGGTCTGTGAGTGAGCTTCCAGACAGCAACACAAAGCAGATCTTGGGTGGTCAGTGGCCTCAGAAGCTGCTCTGTGTTATCCATGCATTAATAACACTGAGACCTTTGTTTCTACAATGATACTAATCTACCTTTCCCTGACACCTCCAGTGTCACCTGAAACAACAGGTTTGCCTTCTGGAAGTAAATCAGTCAGAGATTATTTTTATTGAAGTCTGTTATATCACAGCCAGATTCTGTACAGAGTGATCCCAGATCTCCAATCCTACATGCTAAGCTAGAATTTTGTTTTCAAGGGTAACGACTTATACACTAATTTACATCATATTTACATGAAAAAGAGGACTAATTATTACCACCATCCACTATTTTGATCACATGATCCCTTCCTCACTCAACATTTAGCACTCCTGTAATGAACAGCCAGTTTACACTTCACCTCTCAGTGCTCAGTGTGTCCCCACAGGACACGTTCAAACCCTGCTCTGAAGACAAGAGTAGCTGTTTCCTCACTGGATGCATTTACTGCAACCCTACCCCTGTGAGTACAACTCAACCTTCAGCACCTCTTCCCAGATAAGGTGACCCACCTGAGATATCCACCAGGGGGGAGAGGAACAGCTGGAGTTTGGCAGGAGCTCCCCAGCAGCTCAGCTGCTCTAAGGTCTGGGCTGAGTCATTTTTATAAGCACGAAGTGTTTCCTTCCTTTCAATTTTTGGCCCACTCTACTGCACAGACCTTCCATAAGTTTACACAGGCTCACCTGAGTAGCTGCAGACTGACAGGAAGATGAGGAGGAGGATGAGACAACAGGAATGTCAGACTGGACAGCAGCCACAGTGGTCGCAGGAGTAAAAATAAGCTGTCAAGCAAGAAAAAAATACATGCCAACAGACTGAAATTTTTAAAATCTAGAAAAGAAATGCAGCACCTTAAGAAGATACATAACTTACATGTAGTGATGCACAGATTCTAAGATTCACTTTTTTACTGTTAGATTAACTTACTCAAAGAACCCTTTATCATGGTAGTTTTAAGTAAATGAAACTAAAAGACAATAATTTAAAATATTTGTTCTGCATGTTGAGAAAAACCTTTGAGATTTATAAATACACCTGGGATATGTTATACGACTTCCCCTGCAATATTGCAAATGGGTGAAACAAAGGCAAGAGAGCAGCCCAACGTCTACTGTAACAAAGGAAGAGAACTCAGATCTTCCAGTGTTGCCACAACGTTATTTAACAAGCAGAGCTGTGGAGACAACAGGGTTGGACCTGAGCCAGTCTTACTGCCTGTAACCCAAACTCACCATCTGAGCTCGCAGGTACATCTGAGCCTGGCTGGCACTCAGGGTGGGAGAGGTGCTGCCCAGCAGCATCGTCTGCTGGGTGATGCTGCTGCTGGTGGTGTTGGAGGTCTGAGAGCGGCTTATTATCTGTGCAGGTGTGGGAGAGGTGGAGAGGTTAATCTAAGGAAACAAAAATATTGCTTCTGTCATGGAAATTCAGTCGTCCTACGGTCTAAAGCCAGAAAGGCTTTGACAAGCATGGCAGGGGCAGCTGAAATCTCTGAACTGGAAAGGTATCAAGAATATACTGAGCCAATTGTCACAAAACTGAATTCTGGCAAGATTGTTCGTTTTGGTTCTTAAACTGCAAGCAACCACTTTGCAGTAAATAATAATAAGCAGTTACGAGTATAAACAGTGATAATATGAAGTCTGAAAAATATACCTCATAGAAATACACATTTACAGAATAAGTACCATGAGCCCACAAGTTTTAACAAAAACACATGAATTTTAATATTGAAGTATTTTTTATATTGAAGTATTTATCTGCCTGGACTGGTATCTTCTGTTAGGCTTGTTATGCAACCTCATCAGGATACTTCTTTGTGCCACCACATATGGACTTGAAATCCTCATTTTACATATGCACATTGAAAAATGACTGAAGACTACAACTTTCTCTAATTTCACATTAAATGCTCCTCAACAACTGCTCTGTAGCATCTTCTCAAAAAAAAAAAAAAAGCTGTTGTGGTTTTCTTTTTTTTTCATTTCTAACAGAGTTAAGTGCCCAGCTCTTTTTCATCACTTACTTAAAAGATTTCCTTGAAAAACCCCAGCCCAATTATTCTGTTAGTTTAACATCAGGCATCTTTAAAGACTTCCCCTCCTAAATTTAATGAATGAATGATTTTACTTCTAACAACTGTAAGCCAAGCCAAGCTATGAGAGCTTAAAAAAATACACAGTTAAATCACTGAAGCTATGCACTGGAGTCATGAACAGCTCGAGGGGGTGATTAATAAGCAGGATGTCTGTAGGACTAACAAATCCTACACCAGACAACTGTAGAACTGTAAAGACTGTGCAAATTATATGTCTGAAGATGCCACTGAAAGAAATACAGCATGAACTGAACACAGAGCTGCTCACAACTGAGACCCGAGCACATGCCTAGATTATGGGAAGTGAAAGTGCGAAAGAGATGCGTGATAAAAGATGATAATCAATAAAAGAATGAATGCCATAAACATTTAATCAGTTTCATAAATATATGTGAGCATTGACTTGGATTCTTTAGATTTGGTGCTCTTTAATCATGGATACACAGTTAGGATTTTAATCTACTGTAGAGCCCTCAATAATGTGGAAAATCCAATAAGAAATTGAGTAAGAGTATGAGAGCTCAGGGAGTGACTCCTGCAGGAGTTTGAACAATCACTGGTGCTTGTGGAGTGAGCAGCTGCCCCTCAGAGCACCAGGAGGGGTCTGGGACTGGGGAAGCCAACAGTGGCCAGCAACAATAGCAGCCAGCACCCAACACTTACTACAGAGCCGTTCACTGTGTCTGCAATAGCAACCTGAACTGTACAGTTTTAAATCCTGAAATATTTCTGTCTGTCCCAGGAGCCAGGGAAGAACCAAGCAGGGTTGGGGACGGAGGGAGGGCTGTGTTCAGTTACGTACCGAGGTCTGCGACATGCTCGACTGCTGAGTGACACTCCCAGGGGGGGAAGAACATTGCCTCCCACCTGACAGGCTTGCCTAAATAGCAAGAATAGGTGTCAAATATTGAAATCAGAAAGGCTTTAAGTGTTGTTCATATTATTGCATAAACCATGAGAAACATCCCTCTCTACCTTTACCTCTTCTCTGAGTTAACAGTAAAAATAGTTTCCTCAGTGGAAATAGTTTTCAGCAAAGTGCACTCTGCACTGTGGAATCCTATCTGCAAGGTGCTAAATTCCTCGAACTCCTACCCAATTTCAGGCATGAAGGTTCTTTCAGATCAAGACTTGAACAAAAACTACCAGAGGCAAAGTCAGGCTGTTAATGATGGAGTTTACTGGTCAGCTCACCACCTGTGGTGCTCAGATCTTAAAATGTGACATCATTGAAAACTGTCATTGTTAAAACTCACATAACATTTTTACTGTAATTAGACTCCTCAAAAAATAAATCAAGCCTTACAAATGCTGTAAAGAACACCCTCTTATTCCAGAATGGTAAATTATGGGTGCACATCTAGAGTGTATCACAGCAGGCTATTCCAGCCCTTCTGATGATAGAGGGACAGGATTTAGGTTTCTGTATGAACAGACCAACACCAAAACCTCTCAGCCTCCCCCAGCCTGCTTTCCTTTGCTCTGTCTCAGTAACTGGATATCCACACACAACTCCATCACAACAAAAAAAGACAAATCAATATATTACCACAGTCTAATGAAAAAAGTATAGAAGGAAAAGCCAGCCAGGAGCCAAAAAGAGCCAGTCCAGTTCTGACACCAAGCAGCCATTCCCCCGAGGTCTTTAACTCCATTTTAGCATTTCCATGAGTAAAATCATTAACAACCACTTCTCTCTCTGCAAAATCATATTCTCAATCTAAGGTCAACTGAGGTCAAAGGAAATCTTGCCACTGCTTGAGTTCAAAATGGGTCTCCTCCAGTGCTCACTAATGTTAAAAGCTGTGTTTCAGAAATGAAATGTCATTTACCTCCTACATTTTCACACTCAGAGTTAAAACTGAATTTTTCTATTACTTGTAATGCAGCCAGATGTGAGGCAAAACACACTAAGATGTTCATTATTTTTATTTGATTTCACTAGGATACAATGCTATTTATTGCTTTCCCCATCAACATTTAGAGAAAATCATGGGATGAAGATTGAAGTAGTCTATTTTTAATATTTATTACTGCTTGATGATTTACATGATGCATTATAATGCATGCAATAAAGCATGGAATGGTTGCCTACTGGAGCATCTATACCACTGGACAAAACCCTCCAAACAGTCTGGAGGAAGATACACTTTAAAATAACAATGTCATTAGAACATAACAGTGAATCATGGTGAGGCTTTAAGCTCAGGCACTTAAGCTGTTATTACGTTTGACAAGGACTGTAGCCCTACTCTAGATAATACACCGTTCTTTGTCAGCAATCTTCACTCTCACCTGTGGAACAGTTGCCAGACTCTGAAATTGGGTACTGCTTAAGTGCTGCTGCTGCAGAGCAGCAGTCTGCAGCATTAGATGCTGCTGTTGGGCTGCATACATCTGCTGGAGGTACTGAGCAGCTGAGCTAGGAGGACGATGCAAGGCCTGCTGAATAACCTGTGATGAATCAGTAGGTAATTAATTACAATTACAAAGCACACACCATGCTGACATGATGTTGAAGTTTACCTGTACAAGGAGACACAACCAAATAAATTCTTTTCACACCAGTTATGTAAATGCTGAACTTGCTCCATCACTGTTCTTGCTAAAGAACAGTATTTTCAGTATATTCAGTATATTCACGCTCTCAAGGACAGCCTGACAATACAGCATCATTCCCAACACAACATCCCAGCCTCTCAGCTGCTTGTCAACACATCCTACACCATGTTCTGCTTTCTGAGAGACCAGGGTAGTGTGTGAGAGACCCAATTATCAAACCCAACACAATGGACTGTACAGAGTTCAAGGAGACCTGATTTCAAGAGAAGCAAGAGCTGGTGGATCCCACACATACACCTCTGGATTCTTGCAGTCAGTGTTGCTCAAACAGCTTTATTTTGTAAAGGCTTATGTTAATAATCCACACCCTCAGCACAGGATGAACCAACCAAACTTTCTAGTGTAGCACTTCCCCCCTCCCTTATTTGGGAGCCAGGTCTGTACCCTGCACTATCCTTAAGTGGTCTGATATCCTTCAGTAGACAACATCTCCTGAAAATGATGTCAGCTGTGCAGACAGACAACAGCAATTAAGACTGGGAAGTCAATCCAGTGTAAAGTGTTGTGCAGTGCCTGCACTGAGAGCTCTGTACAGGACAGGAGAACACCCCACAGCGCAGTACCTGGACAGCATGTCTGTCGGAGCCGCTGTAGACGGAGATCTGCGGGAGCGCGGTGCGGGAGGTGGAGGTGGTGGTGACGGTCGTCGTAGGCGCAGAACACGTTGTTGTGTTTGGTTCATTCTCCATCGCTGTGCAGCGCCCGCCCAGCCTGGCAGCACAGAGAGAACAGTGAGCACAAACACAGGGCCGGCACACCGTGATGCTCAACACAAAAACCTGCAGTTTTGCTGAGATAACATAACAGAGTGTTTTTAAATGGATAGGATTTATAGAATCACAGAATGATTTGGGTTGGAAAAGATCATAAGTTCATCTTCCACTGGCTCAGGTTGCTCCAACCTGGCCTTGGACACTTCCAGGCATGGGGCAGCCACAGCTTCCCTGGGCAACCTGTGCCAGGGCCTGCCCACCCTCACAGGGAACAATTTCTTCCTAACACCTAATCTAAGTTTGTAGTATTTGCTATTACTTGATGAAATTTACCGAGAAATGCGGTTATAATCTTAGATCCATCAGAAGTTGCAGTAAAGAACCAGCTCAGAAATACATGCAAGATTTCCAGCCAGCTACAAAGGAGTGCTGCCATGTCCCGCTCCCTCACAGCCCAGCACTGAACTGCTGGTTTATCCTGGGCAAAGGAGAAAAACCTGCTCTTGGTAAAAGTCACTGGTGGCATGTTTTGTTTGGAAAGAGAGGGAAAGAACACATGGAAAAATGCTTTTTACAGCATTATCTCACACAAGACAGCAAGAATCAAGGAAGAAACTACCTATCCAATCACCTCAGATGATTCTCCCCAGCCTGGTGAGAATTCCCTCTGCTGCAGAGTACGATCTCTCTCCGAAAACATCATCTTTAAAACTGAAATGAATCACAAACCTCGATACACGAGGGGTGTTTACTTTGGTTTCTTTTTCAGTCTTAGTACTCTAACAGGAAACAGCATAGTAGCTGTTTATTGCTCTTAGAAGGATGTTAATAAAAGGAAGGGGGAGGAAGATGTGTTTCCTTCTTACCATAAAGAAGGGCTCAGAGAAATCATCAGAGAGAGCTGCAACGTACTGGGAAAAAAGCAGCTTTGCCAAGTGCTTAACAAACCACCCATTGGATGCTGCATCAAATGGGAACATAATTAGGAGTTTCAGCTCTCACAGCTGGAAGCAGAACACCACAGTGCCAGGCTCCACCTCCACCTCCCAAAACACGACTGCTCTGCGAGCAGAGCTGCACGTGATGCTCCAGCTCCTGGGTACCTGCAAGAACTAAACTTTAACGGATGGATGGTCACCTAAGGACCTCTTGCCCACCATCATATTGGATCCTGGCGTGTATTTTGCCATCGAACAAAATTCATGGCAATGAAGGATGCCTTAAAAGTAGAGATTTCCCTGCTATCAGAACTGAAGCAGCAGTATGATCTGCTGTTAAAAATTCAGCTGTGCTGTGCATTACCGATGCCATTTGTCTGCCTACATCAGGGCACAAATTAACACACAGAGGTTACCACCCCAACTGCAATAAAACCAGCATCACTTCTAAAACCACTTTACATTAATTTCACATAATGAAAAGTACCTCAAAAAAAACAGTCCCGTTTCCTCCAGAGGACATTAAAAGCACTTCAAAATATTTACACCTACAACTTGTCTAGCTAGTTTTTGCAAAGTTATGCAACCAGTTAGATGAGCCTAAGAAAACAACACTGGATGTATCATTTCCTTCATTCCCAGCCACATTTTTGGATGTGTTATAAACAAGATGTGCAACATATCCCACTTGCTAACTATTCCATCACGAGTTCACCCCATGAGAGCTGTTAATCCTTTAGCTCCAAGTGTCTCACTTTCAAAAATAACGCACTGTCACTGCCCAAGCTGCTCCCATAACGGATGTACAATGAAAACAGGAAAGAGCTCCTAAAATTTTGCCCAGCATCTCCTCTGACACCAAACTTCAAGCAGGTATGAGATGCTAACTTGGGAGTAAAATTACTCATTTAATGATGAAGACCTTGCAGAGATGCTCCCGAGCAACTGTAACTTAAAAGAACCTCCGTAATGCAAAGTAAGTTTTAGAAAACACACTAAAGTGACTTTAAACAACCACTACGCATTCAAGTAAGCCCAAAATACAAAGTAAAACAGAAAACTATATTGAAAATAAGTGTTTATTCAAGCAGTAACAGTACAAGACACCACATAACTTCAAACTGCTGTGCATAATGTAAATATTCAGAAGTTTTCCTGCTTTATATTTTTTTGGTGAAAGCAAACATCTGAAATAAAAAAATATCTGCTATTCTGTGCCAGTAAGGTGAAATTACCTTCACAGTGGACACGAGATGTCACTACTCATGTTTTAGAAAGTTTTGGTAAATGCCATGGTAATAACAAACACTGCCGACAACCCACAACCATTACAGTTATCTAAAAATAGTCGGGGCTTTTTTTTTTTTTTTCAAATATATACAGTTTATTCTTATTCTTTCCATTCACAACCTCCCACTACAACTCCAAGGGTACAAACCACAGAAAAAAAAAAAAAAAAAAAAAAAAAAAAACCACAAAAAACTCCCAACACCAAAAACCGGAAAATTTCCTCCAAGCCTAACCACCCACAGGCATTTTGGTATATGGCAGAAGGCACTAAAAGAAATAATAATGAAAAAAATGGTAATAAAATGACAATAAAGCAAATAACGAAGGTATGCTCTGTGGGAATACACCCCACGCCGCACCGCGAACCGGCCCCGCGACCCCGAGGCCCCCTCGCCGATCGCCCCCCGCCCGGACCCACCCTCAGCCCCCGCCTCGCCCAGCCCGGCCCCGCCGCCGCCGCCCCCTCAGGGGAGGAAAGGTGGGCGGGCGGGGCCGCCCCGCCGCCGGGGCGCGGTCAGGGCGCGCGTTCCCCGCCCCCGCGGCCCGGCCGGGGCCCCGCGGCTGCCGCTTCACCGCGCCCCGCGCGTCCCGCCGGGACACTCGCCTGGGACGCGCCGCTCAAGGCGCCGCCGCCGCCGCCGCCATTTTCTCGCCTCCCTCACGGGGGAGGTGCCGCGCGCGCGCGCGGGGCGCGGCCGCTGCCGGGCACGTGACGGGGCCCCGCCGCCATGTTGGCGCTGCCCGTGAGGGCCCGGTGCTGAGGGGATGCTGCACGGCGGGGGCCGGGGTTTTGAAAACACGGTATTCTCAACCGAAATAACCTGCTGATTTCCATGTATAACAAAATAGGAGACTCTTTTCAAGCGCCTCTTACATTTAGCAGCTGTTGCTTCGATGCTATTGGCAGCTTCTCGCTCTTAATCACAGCACAAGCCGTCCGACTTTCCTTTTTGAGGCTCTGCTTGCTTCATTACACCCTTCCTGCCACCCATCAGCTGGAAGCACTGTGTGAATAAGAGTTAAAACAGTATCTCCGGTCTCTCCTGCATCACTGATACGTAAGCACTTCCACAATACATACAGGGTTTGGATGTATTTGGATGCCTGTGAGAGGCGCCTTCAGGATAAAGCCCCTGTAACCTCCCTTGCCCATCACCACAGTCACTGTGGCAGCTGCGCTAGAGGATCCCGGAATGGACTTTTGGGAGTCCATTTGGAATGGAAGCCCATTTGGAACGGACTGCACAGGGAGATGGTGGAGTCACTGTCCCTGGAGGTTTTTAAGCAAAGACTGGAGGTAGCACTTGCTGCTCTGATCAAGGTGACACGGTGGGTTTTGGTCATCGGTTGGACTGGATGATTGCAGAGGTCTTTTCCAACCTAACTGATCCTGTGGTGCTCCTGAAGGGGATGGGGATGTGGGAGCAGGGCTGGGGGATGCCCTGGCAGCTGTGGGATCACCGTGAGGCAGTGACCGGCTTCGTACCAATGCAGTGAGGTTGTGGTGGGCGGCACAGTCTCCATCGCAGCCACAGCTCTGCGTGTGGAGCTGTGTGCTCATTCCAGTTATTGTCCATAAAAATCAGGCTCGTTCCTCAGCGTGCAACAAGCCAATAATGACACACTCGAGAGCGACATGGATTATTTATTTCAGAGCTGCCCAAGCCCAGATGCTTGGTGGTATTCCACAAATCCAGCTCACCCCACTGGACTTCCTACACTGTCATTTATACACAGAAGTTCAGAGTTAGTCACTTTCCAAGCACAGCCCCTCTGTTAGAATCAAAGAATCCCATATAACACTGCCTTGGAGCTTTCCCTGCTGTGGGGAAGACCAACCCTCCCCCTAAATTAACCATGATTCATCAGAATTGAATTATGTCAATAATTCCAGTCTGAAATTAGCAGCTCCTTCATACTACCAGGCATAGATGAGCAAAGCCCAAACTCTGTAAAGACAAGCAGTCACTCCACCTCACAGACCCAATTCAAATTTTACGTGGGACATCTTGATAAACTCATCCCTCCTCATGAAATATATTTCTGTGATGAAGCAATGTCTTCTATATCTTAGAATTATGCAACATTATTACACAGCCTCAGCTATACCAGTGTTTCCAAAGCTGTTGTATTCCCAAGGATACAGAAAGAGTGGCTCAGTGCAGTGAGAGGCAGAGAACTGCTCCATCAGACAGGAGTGCTTGCTCATGGCACTTGAAATATTTTATACAGTCCCCACCCCTGGAGGTGTTCAAGAAACGACTGGATATGGCTCTTTGAGTCATGGTCTGGTTGACAAGGTGGGGATCGGTCACAGAGGCCTTTTCCACCCTCAGTGATTCTGTGAAGGGAGAGAGAAATTGCCATATATCTCACAGCTAGTTGGGATAGATAAATTCTTTAGGAAAGAAAAGTCTCAGCAAGTGTCTCGCAAAACTCAAATACCTTCCAAGGCATTAGAGAAAAGGAGTTACACTGAGCACAGGTGGGATTCCTGTGACAATTTGCCAGGTCTCCTTAGCGTGCCTCATTTCCATAAAAGATGATAAGATTCACGAGGAGAAAATAGGAATTTTCACAGATTAAGAAAGAAGGAGGTGTAGGAAAATGAAGACTGGTGCTGAAATACCCTTGGAGATCCAGCAGGAAGTGGAAAACATGTTGGAAGTCTTGGTGCAAGATATGGGTGAGTTCAGGTAGAGCAAGGCACTTCCTGTTGTACAAATAGGATGTAAGACTCTGTGGATGCTGGGTGGAGCAAATAACTTGCTTCTGGGGAACAAAAAACCCAACAAATCCCTGCAGGAAGGTCAGGTAGCATAAAAAAAAAAAAAATCTGTACTTTGCAACCACAACTAAAGGAAACAGGGATTTAAATTGTTTTATCGCAAACATGAGGAAGAGCCAAGTGTGTTGATTTGGAAGTGCAGATCTTACCCAGCAGCCTGTAACAAAAAGCTGAACTCCAGGGTGCTCCAACACCAACATCCAGATGTGATGCTGATTGGAGGGGGCAGTGGGAAAAAGGAATTGTCTTACTGTAACAAGAAAACAAACATTCTCGTTTTCTTAGGACTGCAGGAAGCATCCCTCAGTTCAGGAAGTGTTGGGCAATAAATGTGTGTTGTCAAAGTTATTGATGTTAAATAGGCAAAACTGAGAGGAAATACTGTTTGCAGTGATAAGGTGGCTTATGATTAACAGCTTTAATAAAATACCTTTTGTTAACCACCCTCTTTGCCCTCTCGGTTAGAACAAATCCTTCATGTTACTTTTCTAATAAAAGTACGTATGGGAATTAAAGCTTCACCTGAACTGACCATATTGTCCTGTGGGCAACGCACATTGCACAGAGTCTTGAGAATTCCCACAGAAAACACTTTGGTCAGTGGTAATTGTAAGAAATGCGTTGCCATCAGTTCTGAACAGCTCCTGCTGCCCATCAGGTCTGCGCTGGCTGCTTCTGCCATGGATTTGTGTCCTGAATTTTCTGTCACCTCTCAAATCAGGTTGGGAGCAGCCACAGCAGTGGAGGAGCCGTGGTATGAACAGATGGCGAAGGAACTTAAGTTAGATGTGTCCAATGCTTTTATTCCTGGCATTGGGATGGTAGTGATGGGTTTGGTTTCATGGAAGAGCTCGGCTGGAGCCTAGCCCACAGATGGAGAGCTGCTTCCAACCAGTACCTCTATGGGCATTTCTGGCTCTTTCAGCCTTAAAAGAAGAACAGCAGAACGGTTTGGGTTAAAAATTAGAGACCAATCTCGTTCCAACCCCCTGCCGCAGGCAGGGACATCTTCCACTAGACCAGGATACTCAGAGCTCCATTCAACCTGGCCTTGAACGCTTCCAGGGATGGGGCAGCCACAGCTCCTCTGGGCAACCTGTGCCAGGGCCTCACCACCCTCACAGGGAACAATTTTTTCCTAATATCTAATCTTAACCTATGGTTTTTCAGTTTAAAGCCATTAACTGTGTGTCCTGTCACTCCATCCCTTGTCCAAAGTCCCTCTCCTGTTCTTTTGGAGCCCCTTTCGGAACTGGAATGGGCTCTCAGGTCTCCCTGGAGCCTTCTCCAGGCTGAACATCCCCAGGTCTCCCAACCTGTCTCCAGAGCTCCAGAGGGCTCCAGCCCTCGAATCATCTTCGCGACCTCCTGTGGACTCAATCCAACAGCTCCACGTCCTTCTCGTGTCCAGGATCCCGGAGCTGGAGGTAGCACTGCAGGTGGGATCTCCCCAGAGCAGACGGGGAGAACCCCTCCCTCGCCTGCTGCCCACGCTGCGGGGATGAGCCCCGTCGGTCCGTGGGTAAAACGAGTTTTCCACCTTGGCTGCCCATCCCGGCGCTGGACACCCAACAACACCCAACACCACCCAACAACTCCCCACAGCCCGCGCCGCTCCCGCCGCGCCGGCGCCACGGCCCCGCCATGCCCCGCGCCGGGCCGTACCAAGTGCCGGGGAGTTGTGTGTGCACCGCGGTGTCGCCCCCGCTCCGGGCGCGGCGGAGGGAGCGGAGGGGCCGTCCGGCGGCTTCGAACCTGCCCTACCGGGAGCGGCGGCGACGGCGGCTCCGCCACTCCGGTCCCGGTTACCTGCGCGCCGCCGCCGCCCCCCGCCCCCCCCCTCCGCTCCGGCGTGGAACATCCCGCCCCACAGGTGTGGAGTCCAGCCGAGGAGAGCCCACGCAGCTCCCGCGGGGGGGGCGCGCACAGGGCGCTGTCACCCGCATCTCGGTGCGGCGGAGCTGCCGCCCGGCCCCTCTCGGAGCGATTCTTCGGGGAAAATCCCGCGCTCCCCTCCGGTGCCGCCCGCGCGGCTCCGCGCTCCCCACCCCGCTCCTCCTGCGCGCTCCCCCCCTCCCCGCGCGTGGTGCCGCCCGGCGCGGGCGGGGCGGGCTGAGGCGCGGGGGTCGCGCAGCCGCCTCCGCCCGGCCCCGCTCCCGGTGCCTCCCTCAGGATCCCCCGGCCCGGCCCGGGGGCGATGCCGACACAGCGGGACGGCACGGCCGCCAGCACCATGTCGGCTCCGGGCGGCCTCGGCGGCGGCCTCGGCGGGGACGGCGCCCACCAGGTCCGGGTGAAAGCCTACTACAAGGGGTGAGTGCGGCGCCGAGCCCCGAGGTCCGGGGCGGCCCCGAGGGGGTTCGGGGTGCCCGGCTCGGGATCCCCCGGACACCCCCGGCTCCAGCCCTGGGTATCCCCTGACTGCAGGGGAGGAGGGAGAGAAGGAAGGATGAGCCCTCTACGACCGCCCAGCGGTGTTTACATGGATTTCAAGCGCAGCGCTCGTGTCCGGAGCAGCCTCCCCTCCGTATGTTGGGGTTTGGGGGAAGCTGGATCCTCCCTCTTGCTGGGATGGCCTTCCCGATGAACAAGGATGTACCTGAGCAGCCTCTCTGCCCTGCTCACCCTGCTTCCCTTCACCCCCAGGCCCTGCTGGCAGCAACAACTCTATATTCCTTCATAATGCACGCCAGAATTCGTATTTCGTGTGTTCAGGGTCCAGCTTTGGTTCTGGTTGCTCTGCATTAGGTGATGTTCAGATCTGAAAAAAAGAGGATGTTTGTATGAAAATCTGTTTCATAGGTTTTTAGGCTGTTTCCCGGAGACTGAGTGACTTCCAAGGGAGCCTATGAGTGGTAACTAAGATTATTATTATTATTATGTAG